CATGTCTTAGCCTTGGGGAGCTTCCCCCACAGCGTGCAGTTGCATTCAGCACATGCAGAGATAAGCTAAAAGTGCTGCCGCGACAGCTGAAGGAACAGCATCCTAGCAAGGACTCTTGTCAATTCCTCTTTGTACATCAGTGCTAGCTGCACAGTTGGCCTTTGGGAAATGCTGGGTGGATGAATCCCCACCATCATCCTTCTTTTTTTTTAATCATTGTATTGGGGGCTCATACAGCTCTTATCACAATCCATGCATACTTTCGTTGTGGCCAGCACATTTGTACGTATGTTGCCATCCTCATTTTCAAAAAATTTTTTTGCACTTGAGCCCTTGGTATCAATTCCTCATTGTTTTTCCCTCTCTCCCCCCACCCTCCCTCCCTCATGAACCCTTGATAATTTATAAATTATTATTTTTCATGTTTTACACTGACTGATGCCTTCTTTCATCCATGTTTCTGTTGTCCATCCCCTAGCGAAGGGGTTATATGTAGATCATTGTGATTGGTTCCCCCTTTTCCCCCCTCCTTCCCCTTACCCTCCAGGTATTGATACTCTCATTATTGGTCCTGAGGGGTTTACCTGTCCTGGATTCCTGTGTTTCCAGCTCTTATCTGTACCCGTGTATATGCTCTGGTCTAGCCAGGTTTGTAAGGTAGAATTGGGGTCATGATAGTGGTGGGGGGCTCATCGCTTCCTTGTGACCCTTCTGTAAGGGGATGTCCAACTGTCTACAGATGAGCTTTGGGTCTCCACTCCATGCTCCCCCTCATTCACATCGATATGATTTTTTGTTCTGGGTCTTTGATGCTTGATCCCATCTACACCTGATCCCATCTACACCTCATGATCATACAGGCTGGTGTGCTTCTTCCATGTGAACTTTGTTGCTTCTCAGCTAGATGGCCGCTTGCTTATCTTCAAGCCTTTAAGAGTCCAGACACTATCTCTTTTGATAGCTGGTCACCATCAGCTTTTTTCAACACATTTGCTTATGCACCCATTTTATCTTCAGCAATCATGTCAGGAAGCTGAGCATCACGGAATGCCAGGTTATTAAAACAAAGTGTTCTTGCATTTAGGGAGTACTTGAGCAGAGACCAATGTCTTTCTGTTACCTTAATACTTAACATATGCATATATAACATGTACATAGATCTATTTCCCTATTGCTATATATAAATATATTTACATATGTACATGCCTATGTTTAGACCTCTATAAATGCCCTTTGTCTCCTAGTTCTTTCTTCTATTCCCTTTACTTTACTCTTGTCCCACTATCATGTTAGGCCTTCATTCGGGTTTCAGTAATTCCGCTTGGCTACATTGCCCTTGGTCAAGCCCCACAAGGCATCCTATACCCTCCTCACCATCAATTTTGGATCACTTGCTGTTCCCCTGGGTTTGTTGACACCTCCATTCCTTTCCCCCGCCTCCCCCTGTCTCATGTCTCCCCAGAACTGTTGGTCCTGTTGTTTTCTCCTCCAGATTGTTTATCCCACCTATCTTATCTAGACAGACACGGAGAGACAATAATAAGCACAAAAACAAGAAAGAGCAAAACAAAGCAACAAAAGAAAATAAAAAACCAAAACAACAACAAAAACCATGACAAAAAAAGAAAAGTCTGTAAATAGTTCAAGGTCTGTTTGTTGACCTTTAGGAGTGTTTTCCAGTTCAGTCTGATGGGGTACCACACCCTGGCCCCAAAGTCTATTTTTGGTACTCCCAGGGACTTCATTGCTTTGCTCCCCTTGCTGCTCTGTTGCACACCCTTAGTGTTTTGCCTGGTGTGGTGGGGTCAGATCGGGCACAATTCTGGCACTGTACCTTCAGTGTTGTCCCTCATAGCACTATGGGTCAGTGAGGGACGTCCTGTCTCATGGTGGGGCGGCCCTATGGTCCTCTCTGTGCATTGGCTGCTCTGAGCAGGAATATCATCCTCAGGGCTTGGTGAGCTGGGATGTGTTCCACTCTCTCTCCTTCCCTCTTTGTTTGCTCCTGTGTGCTCTGATCAGACATGTCCCTCTCCCTGAGCTGTAGCTTCAGTGCTGTCCTCTGAAGTGAATTCTTCTGAGTGGAGGGGGGATGTCCAAGTAGTTGGGATTGGGGTCAGCTCGTCAGACCTCTCTACTGGTTCTCTGCTTCATGCCGATATGTTGCACTCACATCTTGGTGTACCAGGTTGAAGTCTGGTCCCTCTCTCCCTCCCCTGTGGAGATGTAAACAACACCTTCCCCTTGGGTGGGTTAGTGCCCTGTTCCCCCACTACCTTTTTTTCCCCTTTCTTTCTTTCCCCCTCCTTTTTGGTTGGCTGCCATATGTATCCCTGGATTGGGTCTGGCCCCTGCCATCGTACCTGGACCTCGGCCCAGGAATGTATGTGTACAGTAGCTTTCCCCCTCTGCCCCTTTTGCATTTTTAAGCTCCCCTCAGCAGACTCATGTTATACTTGTCCTTTCCCACCATCATTCTTAAGCATGTAGGAAGCCATTAACTAAATGTTACTCTGATTACAACTTGCAGAAAGTACATTTTGAATATGAAAAAGAACCAACCCACTGGAAAGCACTAGCGGTAGTGATGGGATTATGGGAGTGTGGGCATTCTAAAAAACGATCTTTCCCATTTTGTGCAGCTACATTTCTTTTACCGTGCGAAATGTCTACTTGTGCTCGATGCTTTCTGAAGGGGTTGGTGGTGGGGTGGTGAGCTGCGAGAACTACAGCTCGGTGGTGGTGCTTGAGGCCAGCGGCCAGTGTTTTCAGACTCATGACAACCCCACAGGTGCAGAGAACCGCTCCTTAGAGTTTCGAAGCTGTGTCCTCTCAGAAGCAGAACCCTAGGCCTGTCTTATAAAGCACCTCTGGGTGGGTTCACACTGCCAACTGATTGCTTAGAGTCTGGTGCCACCTGAGGTATAAATTATGCCGACTGAGAAAACATGACTTGGATTTCGTAATGCAGCCCAATAAAATTTACTACCATATTACCCTGATGTATTTGATGAGATGCATGAGCCTTGTGTGACCAGCCAGGTCTACCCAGCAGCCCTCATAAACCACTTAGATTGGTCTGACTCAGGGCCCAAACTGGGCTTCTGTCGCCGTGTGGGGGGAGGGGAGTTGGAAACGAGGCCAGTGGGTTAGTGTCATGATTGACTTCAAAAGGTTTTTGGTTCCAGAGCGAAGAACCCCACTTTGCTAGCAGAGGACACCATGTCCCGGGAGAGCCATGGGGACCTGGGGGTGACAGGTGTGCCGGCCTCCATACGTTGGTAGCCGAGCAGGGCAATACTTGGGACTGCTTCACGAAGGAGTTCGTAGCGAAGGAAAAACAACTTTCCATCCCAACAGGAGTGCACTAACAACTCAAGCTCCGCTCCTGCAGTGCTCAGAGGTAGCCTGCTAGCTAAGCGGCACCTTCAAGAAATTCCTGGAAAAATTCCATTATCTTTCCCCAAATCCCTTTGAAGCCCCCTTTGTGTAAGCATGCCGAGAAGGGTACTGCCTGAAATGACGTCAGTGTTTATTATGGCAGTGGAAACACCATCTTTGGGAGCGCTGGCGGGAGACCTGAGTTCGGCTTCAGTGAGGTTCGACGTGTACCTGAAGGAACTCAGGAAGCCCTGGTTAAGTGCTTGGCTGTAACGAGTCCAGCTTGGAAAACCCGCGGAGACAGTTTCACTCTGTCACGAGGGCCACCATGGCACTTAACACCAACACATAAACCTGGCATCCTGGTTTCTTTGCATCAGCACTCGCTACATGGAAAATGAAGCAGGCTCACCCTGGGTCACTCACACACCGAAGGAAGAGCTGGGTCCGGGTGTGGGGCTGGGGTTCAGACTCACTTCCATCAGACTTTCTTCAGTCAGCTCTCTCCCAGTGTGCACTGCAACCTGGCTGACCTCCCCCGACTTCGTGCTTAAAGCCTGTTTGACCACAGCAGCTACTCTGGCTGTAAAAATATATCATTTATAAAAGTAGAATGCTTGGCAAAGCTGTTTCCCAAGTGTATCCCCAGTGCTGGATTCTTTGTCGTAGTGGTGGTTTTTTTGTTTTGTTTTTTTGTTTGTAAAGGCTTTCCTGGACAAATTCTCACGTGCCACCTGCTGGCAGAGTTCCAATTGGAACTCGGGCTCTCCTGGGTGGGACCCCCAGTGGACACTGGTGGTGCTGCATATATATATATATAAAGCACAAGTTTAAAATCAACATTAATTATGACTTCACCTTTACAAACAAGGGATCTACAAAGCCTCCCCACTGCCTTTCCTCGCTCACCTGGGCAATGCCACCAGACTACCCCAGGCCTTTCTATCTGAAGAACTACGGGTTCCGAGGCATGTCTTAAAATGGTATTATATGTTTACTTCCTACACACCTCGGCTTCTTTTAGGTCCAGAAAGACCTAAAAGACCCTTATTGAGCCAATACTGATTTTGCAGGGCTGCCAAACTCTTGATAATGAAGAGTACTCAATAAAAAGTAAACCTGCCTCCCTTTCCCAGGTCCTCTACGTGAAAGCGAAAACAACTCACATCCTGTATCCTTCTAGAAGTTCTGAATGTGTGTGTATCTGAGGGGGCTTTGAAAAGTTTGTGGGAAAATTCCATGACCTTTTAATTCCATTTGTCCATGAATTTTTGAAGCCTCCTCCTATGTAGTATATATATATATATATACTCAAAACCCAGCTTACTGCCATTGAGTAGATTCTGACTCCTCGTGACCCTATAGAACTGCCCCCATGGGTTTTTGAGACTTAACTGTGTACGGGAGTACAAAGCCTCATTTTTCTCCTGCAGAAAAATCACCGGCTGGTGATTTTGAACTGTTGACCTTGTGATTAGAGGCCAACACATAACCGCCATGCTCCCAGGGGTCTGTCGTATGTATATATATTGTGTTAATATTATTACAAATATGTATGTTATAGTGTATGTGTAACATATTATGTAAACAAGATATATGTTGTTTTTCTTTGCACACAGATGACCACACCCTTCTTCAGTTTGCTTCTTCCACTTAAAATATTTAAGAAGTTTCCAGGTAAGAATTTTAAGTTTTGTTTGCTTTTAGTGGCTACAAGGTGTTGTGTTGTATAAATGTATAACATTTGCCACTTGAGCAATAATATTAGGATAATAAATTCTTATAAGTGGATTTCTGAGTCAAGAAGTATGTACATTTTTCTTGTGGTAAAACATAATATAAAATGTATTCTTTAACCATTTTTAAGTTTATTCTCATTGGCATCAAGTTGATTTCAATTCATAGTGACTCTGTAGGGCAGAGCTGAACTGCCTGCCCCTGTGGGTTTCTGAGGCTTTAAATCGTTATAGACCGGACAATCTCGTCTTTCTTCTTTGAAGCAACTGGGCATTCAAGCTGCTGACTTTGTGGCTAGCAGGTCAATTCGTAGCCCACTGTGTCACCAGGGCTCCTTTGAAATGTACAGTCCCTTTTAACAGATATTAGTCAATATTCACCAAAGAGCTATACAAATTGGCACTTGCACTAGCAAGGTAAAAGTGAACTTGTTTCTGAACATTCTTACCAATGTGGGGTCAGTTTCAACCTTTGGGATCTTTCTAAAGTGCTAAGTAAAAAAAATTTTTTTTTCTTTTTCTTTTTATGAGTGAGATTAAGTTTCTTTTCAGGTACTAAAGAACTTTTTAAAAAAAAATTTAAGAACTATTTATATTTCTTTCCTGTAGATTTTCTTTTCATCTATTTTGCCCATTTTTGTGTGAAATTATTGGTCTTTTCTTTTGATTTGTAACTGGTCTTTATGATATATTTCAGCTCTCAGTCTGTGATCTGAATTGCAGCTATTTTTCTCAGTTATCTTGTGGCTTCATAGTACTTTTTTTCTGTGCAGATATGCATTATTTTTATATAGTTGAATGTATTAATCTTTTCATCATTATCTTCTGGTCCCATTTATCTAAACATACATTTCTACTTTAAAACAATAAAAATCAGTAGCATTGATGACTATAACCCCACTCGATGGGATCAAGCATGTCAGCTATGGCAAAAACAAACAAACAAGCAATTATGGTGAAATAAAAATAATAATTATGATAAGGCTTCCTGGGGAGTAGGGAAGAAGGGATAAAGGGGAACTAATATCAAGGAGTTCAAGAAGAAAGAAAATGGTTTGAAACTGATTGTGGTATAAGTTGTACAATAATGTTTGATGTGATTGAACTTTGGAATGTTATATCTGTAAGAGCTCCCAATAAAATGATTTATTAATAAAAAAAATAAATCCCACTTTTTCACCTTGTACTTTTATGGCTTCATTTTTAAAACTGATTTCATCTATTTAGAATTTATTCTGGCATATATTTGAAAAACTTAATTTTAAAAATAATCGATTTTATTGAATTATTTATTTATTGAATACTCTTTTTTTCTACCGTATTGAAATGTGATCACTGCTGTATATTAAATTATCCTATGCTCATGGGATCATCCCTGCACTTTTATTTCTATTGTATTGTGCTGTTGTTGTTTTTCCCCATGCCACTGCTATACCATTTTAGTTACCATGGTTTCATAATATGTTTTTGTATTTGGTCACGTTAGTCATTCTTTTTCTTTTCTTCTTCAGAATTACCCTGACTTCCTCATTTATCTTTCCTTGAACTTTAGCATCTGCTTGTCTGTTTCTAAAATTAAGTTCTGTTGGCCCCATTTTTTCATCTTAGCCCTGACTGAGAACTGGGTAAGAGAGAAAGAGGAAAAGGGGAAGCGTGTGTTCCTCTACTTCCTCGCCAGTCACTACTTACTTCCGGTGTGGCGCTAAGGCCTGTGTTGCACCTTCGGTGGTCAATGTCCCCTCGTGGCTGAGTCATGCTGCTGCTGCTGCTTTCATAGGGTCACTGCGTAACACAAGGACGTGCTGCCTGTCTCCTTGATTATCGGGCCATTGTCACCCACAGGGTTCCCACTGGTTCAATTTCAGAAGCAGGTGGCCAGGCCTTTCCTCTTAATCCATCTTATTCTGGAAGCTCCATGGAAACCTTTTGAGCATCATAGTACCACACAAGCCCAGTTTAATACAACAAGGTGTTCTTGCATTGAGGGAGTACTTGAGTGGAGGCCCAATGTCCATCTGCTACCTTAATACTAGACTTATAAATATATGCACATAGGTCTATTTCCCCATCCTCATATATAAATATATTTACATATGTACTTGCCTTTATTTAGACCTCTATAAATACCCTTTGCCTCTTAGTTCTTTCCTCTATTTCCTTTGACTTTCCTCTTGTAAAGATTTACAACCCTCAGAAACCCTAGGAAGCACTTCTCCTCTGCTCAGTAGGGCTGCTATGAGTCAGAAATGACTCCCCAGCCATGGATTTGTTTGACCTAAGAAATATATATATTTGCTAAAACGAAGAAGAAAAAGGAAAGAAAAACAATGCAATACAAGATTGTGGTAACTTTTTAGCGGGCGGCAGAGGATGGGATAGGGAAAGAGAATGAAATTCCTACAACTTATCAGTATGACGCTTTATAACCTACATAAGAAGACCTGATGGTGCTGTTGGGTAAGTATGGGACTGCAAACTCCAAGGTTGGCAGTTCAAAGCCACTAGCCACCACCAGGGGAATTAAAAAAAAGAAACTATCTGCTCCCGTAGAGATTAGTAACCTTGGAGATGCTACAAAGAGTAGCTATGAGTTGGAATGGGCTCCAGGACATGGGTTTGATTTGAAGGGTTTATAACTTACATAGATGCTACATTTTTCTTTTATATGGGTTACACATCACATGATTAAATTATATGTAAGAAAGATTATTATTATCATTTATTCTTATTAAAAACAGGGAAGCAAGTGTTTCCCTCTTTGAGAGACTTGCAGTCTGCTGCTACCAAGGGCTGAGTGATGATCACAGCTCTCTCCTCAGGGGACAGGGCTACAAGTACTGGCTGTGTTAGTCGCGGCTGGATCTGAGAACTCAGAGATCAAGTGTTTCTCTCCCCCTTTCCTACCCAATTCGGTTGGTCCTGTAGCCTTGCTGGCCTCTTCCCTGAGGCAGAGCCTGCTTACCGGGTGGGCTCCCTTTGTGGAGGAGAGGCCAGGAGAGAAGGCACTGAGGAGGGAGGGAAATCAGGCCTTCATTGCTGCTGAGGAGACAAAGGGAGGGAAACCAGCAGCTAGCTCCTGGCAGTTGACTGAGGCACGCCCAAACCACCAGGGTACAGAGCAGGAAGTTCGAAGAGAGTCAAGAGCAAATAGGGTGTGCCCGACAAAAAGCGGTGACAAATGTTTCACCTCTGGAGCAGTAGGGAAACAGAAGCTGAAGTGGAGAGAGTGGTGAAGGGCCCGGTGAGGCCAGAGCTGGGCCTTCTGTGACTATCCCCGGACTGAACAAGCCTGTCTCTGGGTGGGTCACCCAGAAGTCCAAGCCATCAGAGGCGTTGCCAGGCTGGGAGGATGAGGTGGTGTGCGTGGTCAGGTGTCTGAGAGGGGACAGAGCTAGCATGGAGTGAGGAGAACCCTGCCTCTGTCTCCCCCTCAGGTGTGGGAACTATTGAAGCTACTGGTGGCTGGGCAGGCCCAGGGAGCCAGCAGCAGGCATCAGGGAGGGCAAGGCTGAGCTGTGTGGCCAGGAGCGGGACGACCTGCCATCTGGAGCAACAGCAGTGAGCACCTGCCTCCTCCCAACAACCTTGTGAGGGCAACCTTCATACCTCTACTTACCAGGTGGGGCCTGTGAGGCTGCGGAAGATTAAGGGGCACTCAAAGTTATGTAGGCGCAAGGGGATGCAGATGTGCTATTAGAACCCAGAGGTGAAATCCTGCCTGACCCCAAAGGTGAGATCCTGTCCATGAGACTGCCTTTGCCTCCCGGGCCTCAGTTTCCCCTTCTGTAAAACGGGAATAGGTTTGTTGTATAACCTAGCATGATGACCACTTGCCTGTCAACTCGTTGTTCTGTGGTGGCCTGTGTGTTGTTGTGACCCTGAAAGCTACACCAATGGTACGTCAGACACAGCCAGGTCACCCAAAGCAAACAGGTTTTGGTAGAGCTTCCCAACTATGAACAGACTGGAGAGGGGAATAGGCTGGCCACTCCAGAAGAATGCGCCCGGAAAACCCTGTGGGTAGCGCCGAACCATTGTCAGCTACTGGAACCCTGATAAACAGATCAGCACGTTGTCATAGGTGGTGCCAGAAGACGAGCCCCGCGGGTCAGAAGGCACGCAAAAGATGACAGAGGGGGAGCTGCTTCTCAAAGTCGTCAACCATCACGCCCCGGAAGGAGGACAGTCTGGGGACCGTCATTCGCTGATGGAACATGACCCAAAATGAGAAGAAAGAGCTGCAGACATCGATGACTAATTATAATGTGGAATGTGTGACGTATGAACCTAGGCCAACTGGAAGTTGTTAAAAGTGAAGTGGAATGCATAACGATCCGTATTCTAGGCATTTGTGAGCAGAAACGGATTGGTATTGGCCGTTTGGAATCAGAAGATTGTATGGTTTTCTAGGTCAGGAACGACCTAATCAAAAGGAATGGCATTGCATTCATCGTCAAAAATGACTTTCCAAGATCTATCTTGAAGTGTCCAATGTTGCCTGTGATTGGATCATGTTTATCCATATACAGGGAGATCTAGTCTATGCAACCATTATTCAAATGTATACAACAACCACTAAAGCTAGTGATGAAGAAATTGAAGAATTCTACCAATGTCTTCCATCTGAAATTGATCAAACATGCAATCCAGGTGCATCTATTATTGGCAATTAGAATATAAAACTTGGGAAAAAGAGGAAGGATCAGTAGTTGGAAAATATGAGCTTGGTGATAGAGTGAAGCTGGAGAAGTAAAAGATTATGATGAAATGTGCAAAGACCGCGAACTAGAAAGCCCAGAGGAAGAACACACTCAGCAGATCTTCCATGAAGAACTCAAGAAAACATTCAAACTTTGAGTAGTAATATTGAAAGCTTCGATGGAAAACATATTGAATAAGGCAGGAAGCATCAAAGAAGAGGGAAGGAATATACAAAGTCTC